CTCGCGTATGATTCTTTCTGGTCGAGCTAAGGGAACGGGGATTTCGTTCCCTTTCGAGTGCATCTGGCTATTTTTAAGCATTCGGCATGCCGTGTGTAGAAAATGGGTACGGAGAATAAAGACCGGGGAGATGTGAGAGCATCGGATTCGGACCATGGAACATGTCCAAACGCGCTTAAAACGGGTTCTATCGTGGCTCTAGACCAGCGCGCAGAGGAGGTTGCTATGCGGATACGGGGAATGAATTTTATCGTTGGTAACGGGTAAATTTTTGAAAAAGAAAAGAAAAAGATAAAAAAAAAACGCGATAATTTTTGGTTGAAATTTCACCGGTGGATACTAGGTCGAATTACCGGGATATTTATATCGAATTCGCGTGGAAATTCGTATATTTGGATTCGGTGGTATAAATTAGAAATTGGCAATAAAAGCTAATGCGCAAGGTGTCGTAACGCGGGGATACGTCCGCAATGGTGGAGTAGGGCGCCTGCCCGTTGAGACCCAAAAGTTAACGGTTAGGTTAGGTTCGCGTTACATAGGTCGGCAAGTAAGCGATACGGGTATTGCGAGAAGATTATGCACTTTCGCTAGCGTGTAATCCTTTCTATCGCATTAATCTTGCGTATGCAAATGCGGCGAGGCGAAACGGTTCCTTGAGCGTTCAAATTTTTTTCGTATAATATAAATCCACGACGTGTCCTCGTTAAGCGCATAAATCTTTGTTTATCGTTCGCTTTCCTAATATGGAAGTGTACAAGAAGATTTCCTCTTACCTTTGCCAACCAAGGTTTTCGAAATGCCTTGACACAGAAGAATCGGCATCGCCATGGGCTAATTTCACCGATAAATCGATACCTCGTTCGAGCAACCGTGACAATTTTCAAACGCAATCGTTATTCGGCTAGACGTCGCTGTAGAACTCGTAACCAAACATGGAAATCTTTCTTCGAGCCGTGCTGCGACGACGCGATGACATAATTTCTTCACATCGAAACAGATTCGTGAATGATCGTGTAACTTTTCACTAGGAACACTGCACCTCTGATCCGATTCACGTTACATGACCACGCCAACGAGACACCCTTTGCGTTTTCTTTGTCAAGAATCGGATAAAACAAAAAGGATAACGGTTATTAGACGTTCAAACTGTTACGGGATTTCCTTTTCGAGGTAGCGAGTAGAGAGATATACGCAAACGGTTAAGTTATACATCAGAAAGAAAGAAAAAGAGAGAGTAAGAGAGAGAGAGAGAGAGAGAGAGTTAAAAATGAGTGGAACTGTAAATTAACAAATAGAATCGAACAACCCTGGGTTAACGATGGCGAGAATCCAGGTGCAGCTGACTTTTTCTTCGCACTATTTTCCCGTTTCTCGATTACCGAGAATTTGAATACTCACATGACGAATCGCGAGACGATCGAAGATATCATATTAACGATTTCAAACGATATATGGAGTATGCGCGATCGGAAG